AGCTAGTAAGTTTGGTCCACACCTGGTCGGGTATAACTGTATGGGTTTTAGAATGCAGTTCAGCTTTTGCTCTGAGGAGCCTTTGCTCAGGCATTTTGCTCAACCATTTCTACTGCTCTCTTATTTGGATGATGAAGAAGAAAACTTATTCTGTATTGTTTACAAGGACTATTTAAGTTTGTTGCACTGTTGTTGAGCAAGCGTGGCCATTTGACCATTGTTTTGAAGGGCTTCCTTTCAGGGATGTGAAATTTGTCACAGTAAGTTGTAACAGGATCAAGTATGTGTGTGTGTTAAAGAAAACCTTATCCTATTGGTTATTATATGCAGCTGCTAATGTAGGTTAGCTAGTAAGTTTGGTCCACACCTGGTGGGGTATAACTGTATGGGTTTTAGAATACAGTTCAGCTTTTGCTCTGAGGAGCCTTTGCTCAGGCATTTTGCTCAACCATTTCTACTGCTCTCTTATTTGGATGATGAAGAAGAAGACTTATTCTGTATTGCTTACAAGGACTATTTAAGTTTGTTGCACTGTTTGTTTTTGTTTACAACATCGCAAGTTTATGTTTTAACTCTGCTGATAAGAGTAAAGCTTTTCTGGTTTTTTTCCTCTTGCAATGTTATTGTGTTTTCTGCATTGGACTTGACTGAAACACGCTATGCGCAACAAAATTGTCCTTCTGAAATATGGAAGATGGTGAAGCCACACAAAATTTTCTCTCCCAAAAGCAAGCTGCACCCCCGGCCTTCCTCATGAAATGAAGGGATCAGCTTTATTTATTATCTCTTTGTTATTAGAGTCTTTATTCCAAGCTTTACGGTCTCAGAGGCTCCCAGAGTGTCTTCCAAATTGCTTTGCTTAGAAATCCTCCTTTGAATCACTCCCTAATCATGTTTTCCCTCAATTATTCTTCTTAAGACATTGATTATCCTGCTGTGAAATTCAGAGTCACCAAATGTTTCCGAGAACTTGGCTTGGTTTGCTTTTTTTCTTAGGGACTGCAGAGCAAAAGGGAAGGAGGGTCTGCCATCCTCGTACTCTTCCTATTCCTTCATCTGGGTATTAGAGAGCTTTTTAAGAAGTGTTCCTGTCCAATCGAACGAGAAGCATCACATGCTCTGGATAGCAGCAGGGAGCTATCAATATTCCTTCTTGGGTAACACGCGCTAGCACACTGTGTGTGCCCTCCTTGGTTTGGGAGTCATTAAGTCCTTGATTCCCCTTGCAAACGCAGACTGGCTTCCGATCCCGCATAGCTGAGCAGCACACATTTCGATACTGCCTGAGACCAGTATGTGTTGCACTCCAGAACAGGAAATAGGCCCTCTGACTATAAACACACCACATGTTGAGTGAAGGAACAATCCTTTTTATTAAAGCTTAGCAAAAAAAGCTAGTAGAAATAAATGCTTGTAAAGATAGATAGGATTCCAAAAAAGCAATACGGCATTCAAATGCAGCAAGATAAAACAGTGTCCAAATGTAGCAATCAAAAGCAATGTCCAAAAAGCATGAAGATACAATCCAAGGCAATGATTATCCAGACAGGAATCAAACAAGAAGCAAGAACAGACCAGTCAACTTGAAAGGCTAGAAAAATCCATGAAGACAAGACCACTTGAACAGGAATTCCATGAGGCTTGTACTTGGTTTCCAAACGATGCCTGATCTGACAAGATTTTCTAAAGGCAAACCTTAAATCCCAAAAACTGGTTTCGTTCCCCCCCCCCCCCCATCTTTGACCTTAAATGACGAATACTTTTGGATCTACATAAACATTGGGCCTCTTGTTGATTCTGGCTAATCTCCAGCCACCGACTCCATTTATCTGACTCCCCATTAACTTTACCAGGTGTCAGACTGTTTTCCAAACTAGAATTTGGAGACCTCACAGGCGGAGGGAGTAAACCTTTCTCCATAGGCCTGTCAGAAACATTCTCATGAGAATCTGCCCTTTGCACCAAAGCCTCTCTGTCAGTGTCTGCATGAAACTTATTGACCAAAGTGTCTCCATCTTGCACCCCAGAGTCAGCCCCAGCATCCCCCACATCAGAAGCAACAGGAGACTGATTTTCCTCCTCATTACCCACATCGGATACAGAAACATCAGGAGACTGAAACACAAGCACAGGTTCAATCACAGGCTGAGTCCCAATGGTACGAAAGCCTTCAGCAACACAATGACATAGTAGTCAATACAGACTTTGAAATAATGAACCAAGTACCAGTGATCACATACTCATTTCAAGATAGAAGTGGAAACTGTGTGGCACATAAGATGCTATTGGGATGCAACAAGATTGGGAATTGCAGTCCCACAACACCTGGAGGGGCACACAACCCACTTCTCTGGCCTAGATGTTTGCTTTTCGGTCCCAGAAGTGAGACAAGAGCCCTTCCCTGCACAGCAAACGGCCATTCCTCACTTGAATGGACTAGGATGAAAAAGGTGGCAGCTCTTTTGATGTATTGTTCTTAACGTGAAACACCTGGGAGCCAAAACTTGCATCACAGATGACCCAGAAACCGGGAGGTAGATCTGGATCAACTTTCCAATTTTGCTCGTTTTACTTAAGGTGGTCATTTTAAAGCAGATTAGGAAGACAGGGGTTACTCAGGAGTGACATTTCAACGGCTGACAGAGATTCTGAAATTGGTTTGCTCACAAATGGCAGGAATAATGTTGGACCCTACAGCAGGCATGGGCCAACTTGGCCCTCCAGGTGTTTTGGACTTCAACTCCCACCATTCCTAACAGCCTTCCAGGTAACAAGCACCAGAACACTGTGTGACCTCAAGAAGTTGAGGTCCAAAACACCTGGATGGCCCAAGTTGGCCCATACCTGCCCTAAAGGCAGGAGATCTCAACTTTGTGGAGGGGAGAGCAGCAATGAATCCTGGGTGCCACAGGTTGCATTTCAAAGGAAGGGACTGACCTCGACCCATCTGCTTTCCTAAGAAATCCCTACCAAATCCATAGGGTTGCCACAAGTTAACAGGCAACTTAAAGGCACAGGTACACAAGCTGAAAGGAAGACCACCTTTTTATCAGGATGGACTAAACCAGTGTTTCTCAACTTTCCTAATGCCTTGACCCCTTAATACAGTTCCTCATGTTGTGATGACCCCCAACCATGAAAATTATTTTCATTGCTACTGTTATGAAACGTAACAGTATGCAGGATGCATTTTCATTGACTGCACGGGCCACTTCCATTCCTCCCTTATCCACCTTCCACGGTTAGCCAGCCATAACTGCAACAACAATATTTATTTATTTATTTATTTGCAGTATTTCTATTCCGCCCTTCTCATCCCGCAGGGGACTCAGGGCGGATTACAGTGTACATATACATGGCAAACATTCAATACCATAGATACACAACATATATAGACAGACACTCAGAAGCTATTTAACATTCCATCTTCTAGCCAGCAGGGGAGCTGTCGCTTCACCGTCCATTGGTGACACTGATGAAGTACTTTCCTCATTCTTTGCATACTTCCTGGAGATTTTTATGGCCTGGTTGTTGTTGTTCATTCGTTCAGTCGTTTCTGACTCTTCGTGACATCATGGACCAATTCAACACCAGAATTCCCTGTCGGTCATCACCACCCCCAGCTCCTTCAAGGTCAATCCAATCACTTCAAGGATACCATCCATCCATCTTGCCCTTGGTCGGCCCCTCTTCCTTTTTCCTTCCATTTTCCCCAGCATCATACTCTTCTCTAAGCTTTCCTTTCTTCTCATGATGTGGCCAAAGTACTTCATCTTGGCCTCTCTTATTCTTCCCTCCAATGAGCAGTCAGGCTTTATTTCTTGAAGTATGGACTGGTTGGATCTTCTCGCTGTCCAAGGCACTCTCAGAACTTTCCTCCAGCACTACAGTTCAAAAGCATCTCTCTTCCTTCGCTCAGCCTTTTAAATCAGTTAAATTACACCCCCCCCCCACTAAGTGGTACCTAAATTTCCTACTTGACAGATGCAACTGTCTTTCGGGCTGCAAAGGTCGACAACAAGCTACACAATTTTGGTCGGAAGCTCACTCCGACCCGGGCTGGCTTCGAACTCATGACCTTTCGGTCAGTAGTGATCTTAATGCAGCTGACTCCCCGCCAGCTGTGCCACAATAGGGCAAGGGCAGGAGAAATAAAGCAGTTGAGGTGCAAATAGGTGGACAAGAATACACAGAAGATGAGAAGTTATGACCAGAAGCCAGGAAAAGTAAAGCAAAACATGGTTGAGAGGGTTTGGGTTGTGTACTCCTGCTTGGGGGGTTGGACTGGATGGCCCCTGTGGTTTCTTCCAACTCTATGTTGTTCACCATTTATTTTCTTGCATGAGATATAAAACACAAGAAACAGTGGTCCCACTTAATGATTTCGTCCACAGTCGTGTTTTCAGTTATAGAATACCCTCTTCTTAAAGTCTCATAGCTAAGGAAGAGAGATGCTTTTGAAGTGCAGGGCCCCAATTGGTGCCAACGCTGTGGTCATTACAGCACCAATTGAAAATGTGTTTGCTAACAACATTTAGGGGGCCTCCTTGATCGAAGCAGTGGTTCATGGATCCGTGCTGGTCTGTGAGTCCAATGCAAGCTTGTGATACCTGCCTAGGTTTCTTTTTCTGGAGGGTCCATAGAGATGAACTTCCAACTCTTTCCCACTTTGGTGGAACTCTATGTTCAGGTCGAAGGGAACAGGTTGTTCTGATGGTTTCCCTTTCTGAGGGAAGAGTCAGCTTTTGTGCTCAAAAAGTATGACTTGGCTTCTATTTCATGCTCCGGCGAACCAAAGCAGGCAAAATCAGCATGCCTGTCACTATCATTGGAGGCCAAGTGCTTATGGTGAAGGGAAGTAATAAATTGATGTTGAGTGAAGAGGAAGAGGAGGAGGTCTGTTGCATTCTGAGAAGGCCTTGCCTGGATGAGATGTGCTCCTCAAACAACACACATGGTGTTGAAGCTGTCTTCCTCACGGTTTGGGGTTTTCTTTCCAGATACTTGGCCTACCGCAATTTCATGATCGATACCTATCGCCTGAACCCTCAGGAGTACCTGACCAGCACAGCCTGCAGGAGGAACTTGACCGGAGATGTTTGCGCTGTCATGAGGTATGGCTTGCGGCCTTGTAAAGGAAGCACCTTCTCTCCCTTTCCTGTTGCTATGCCACAACATCACAAATGGGAGTATTTTGGGGGTGGGGGGCACAGAAAGAAGAAGGAATGGGGCAGTTCCTTCTTTGTCCATGCTACCATTTTCAAAAGGTACACTATGAGTCAGGCTCAGCTTACAATGGGTCAGATGCTTTCAAGGTGCATTTTTAAATGTTGAGGGCCAGCTTTAAATACTGAGGGCTGGACTCTCAGACAAGTAAAGAGAGCACAAATCTGAAGTATTCATGCCCAGAGATTGTTGACAATAGCAACCTTCTTCAAGCCTCCGCTAGTTCTTTGTTATGCATATAATTCAGATTGCTCACTGTATTGCATATGTGTGTATTGGATGTGGGAGGGGCTGCACACCATGTGATCAGATCTGGGACTGTACAGAATTCAGACTCTATTTTAGAAACAGTATGCTTTTAGATTCTGCCAACCTATCAGTTCAAAAACATGCAAATGTGAGTAGATCAATAAGTACCGCTCTGTCAGAAAGGTTAACGGTTAGACTGAGTGGGCAAAATGTCATTACTGCCACCTTAATTGCAGGAGGGACCAAAGACTCCCTCTAGATCCATAGGGCCGTGTACTTGCCATTAATGAACACTTCCTGCATGTTAGGCTGACTCTTCACGTGGCTTTCCTCCTCTGTCTTCCTAGGGTGCATGCCTTTCTGGAGCAATGGGGGCTCATTAATTACCAGGTGGACCCAGAAAGCCGCCCCATGGCCATGGGCCCCCCTCCCACCCCACACTTCAACGTCTTGGCGGACACTCCCTCAGGGCTCATGCCGCTGCATCTGCGCACACCTCAGGTAAGAGGCCTCCCGGTGTCACTACCCCATGCACATCCCATCCCGAGTGATTTGGGCACTTCCACCTCGGTGTTCAGGTTGCTGGTTTGAACCTACAAAGCTTTGGGACAGGATATCCAAAAAGGTTAAGGCCTCCCATATGAAGCTGCCTAGAACTTAGGATTGTCAACTGAGGCGCTGCTGCATGTCCCATCATCTTATGAGGCTCAGTTGGCATGACGCCATGGCAGGGTTTTCTCTGGAACAGCACCTCACCTGTGGAATGGCCTGTTGGGCAAATGGGCTTATTAGCAAAAGACCCTCCCCATAAATGTACAGCAGAGTAACTTATTAGCAGCAGTGTGACTCAGCACCAGTAGCCCAAAGTGATAAAAATAACAAAATAATAATATAATAATAATAAACTTTATTTATACCCCGCCACCATCTCCCCAATGGGGACTCGGGGCGGCTTACATGAGGCCAAGCCCAAACAAAAAATTACAATAAAATAAGATGCAAGTTACAATAAAATAAAAAAACATCACAGTAAAACACAGAACATATGACTACAATAAACAAAATATAAAAAAAAAACGTAAACCAAACATAATGACTGTGAGCGGGCCGCATGTACATAAAATGATTAAAAAACTCAGGGTGAGATAAAGGAGCAGAATTATTTGTGAGTGAGAACTCATAGAGAGACAGGGTGATATGCTGAAAACTACACAGCCCAATGTTCTCTCTTCTATAGAACGCTTTTCTTTGTAGTAAAACAATATGGTTGCACTATTTACAACAAAGTTTTCATAACATGAACAAAGTTGTTTATACTTCCTTCTTTGCTTCCACGCTGGGCTTCTTTCTAATGCAGATAAACGGTTTCTAGCTTTGCTCTCACAGAGATTCCTGTCACACCGAGCGTTACACACAGCTTTACACACGAGGCATTTAACCTGGGGCTTCTCTCACCAAAGCTTTTCACAGACTATAATAATAATAATAATAATAATAATAATAATAATAATAATACTTTATTTATACCCCGCTACCGTCTCCCAAGGGACTCGGTGCGGCTTACATGAGGTCGAGCCCACAACACATCAATTCAAGCTATACCAATTACAAAACGAAACAAAATACAAATACTAATACAGAGCAATTAAAATAAATCTCATACACAAAATAAGAAAACATTAAACAGTGGCACAAAACACATTTAAAAACTATGGCTGGGCCAAATGAAATTAAGTTAAAAATAATGCTGGGCATGAACAAGGTAAAAGAGGTGGGGTGTTGGGAAAACGTACAAGCAGTCCTAAATCAGTATAAAGTGCTTTTGGAGGACATAATGCTAAGGGTTCATTAATCTGGGAAGGCACACTGGAACAACCATATTTTCAAGCTCCTCCTAAAGACTGTCAGAGTTGGGGCATGCCTGATGTCCTTAGGGAGTGAGTTCCAGAGTCGAGGGGCCACCACCAAGAAGGCCCTTTCTCTCGTCCCCACCAATTGCGCTTGCGATGCAGGTGGGTGCGCAAGTAGGGCCTCTCCAGATGATCAAAGAGATTGTGTGGATTCGTACACAGAAATGCGGTCAGACTAAGGCCTAACTCACACTTAAGCCTTCTCACAGACTGAGACATTTCTCACACTGAGGCAAACTAACACACTGAATCCTACAAAGCTACAGGCACTCCTGCTTATATGGAACTGCAGCTTTTGCTGAGTCATTGCATCAATTTAACCCTTTCAGTGCTTGACTCACATTTTTGTAATTAAAAATTCCGAGTTAATTTTTACTATTTCCGACATGGCTTGCCATGGGAAGCGAGTCTGCCTCCATCTCTTCTGAGTTTTTTCCCCATGTAACCTTTGATCCCTAGAATTGTGCTGGCTATTTTATTTTAAGCAACTTTTGAGAGGTACGTCTAGTTTGGCCCTTTGAAGTTCTTCTAAATGTGTTTATCCGTTGCCTGTGACTTGGATCCCTGCCTCAAATGAATTAATATTCTGTTCCTTTGCTGCTTCGTGTGACTGAGTCTGTCAGATGAGGTGTTTCGGTAGACTTTCAGCATTTGTAGTCTCAAACAATTCCTGAGCAGCTGTGGCCAACCAGATGTTTGCAGAACACAATTCCTGTTATCCCCTGCCAGTTGATATAATGACCAGACCTAATAGGAGTTGTAGTGAAAAGTGGGGGTTTGTTTATCGTGTCAGGAGCAAACCAAACAGTTGTATTGCATTTTTAACAAACAAACAAAACACAAAGTTTGCAAGCTTAGTAGTTGATTAAATGTCCTTTGACCAGTAAGACGGTACTCCATGGTGCATGTGGCAGGGCTCAGGTTGCATTGCAGCAGGTGGTCTGTGGTTTGCTCTTCTCCACACTCACATGTCGTGGATTCCACTTGGTGGCCCCATTTCTGAAGGTTGGCTCTGCATCTTGTGGTGCCAGAGCGCAGTCTGTTCAGTACCTTCCAAGTCGCCCAGTTTTCTATGTGCCCAGGAGGGAGTCTCTCATTTGGTATCAGCCATCGATTGAGATTCTGGGTTTGAGCCTGCCACTTTTGGACTCTCGCTTGCTGAGGTGTTCCAGCGAGTGTCTCTGTAGATCTTAGAAAACTATTTCTTGATTTAAGTCGTTGGCATGCTGGCTGATACCCAAACAAGGGATGAGCTGGAGATGTCTCTGCCTTGGTCCTTTCACTATTGGCTGCTACTTCCCGGCGGATGTCAGGTGGTGCAATACCACCTAAACAGTGTAATTTCTCCAGTGGTGTAGGGTGCAGACACCTAGAGCTTCGGAGAGCTTCTGTTCAACCAACTCAAAGCTCCCTGCTTGAGCAGTGATGGCACGATCATCAGCATAGATGAAAATTCTCTGATAGTGCAATTGTCCATCCTACTGTAGACAGAGGGGAGAATGTGTTCCTAGAGAAAGGGCTTCTCCATTGCTTTTTCCTGCTTTGAAAGTTACATTGGCATTCCTTTATTTATGTCCTGCCTTTTCCGCAAAGCTGAGCCTCTAGCCTCGCTGCACCTGGTGCTTCCATGTCTTCCTGCCGCTTCTGATCAGTTTCGCATCTCTTTCTATAGATCCCAGCCTCCCAGCAGATGTTGAATTTTCCTGAGAAGAACAAGGAGAAACCTACTGACCTGCAGAACTTTGGACTTCGTACAGACATCTACTCCAAGAAAACATTGGCAAAGGTGAGGCAAAATGGCTCAAATCTCTCCATTCCAGGAGCCACCAGGAAACTGTGTATTAGGAGGGGAGCAGGCTGTTTCTGCATCAGAAGTAGAAAATGTACACATAAATTGTCATTCTTTGGTGATTTTCTTTTGTTGTTATACTTCAAAACATGTTTTAAATATTCAAATAGCCTTCCCCCAATATATAAGTCCCACTAGGTAAGTGGGGTTTACATTTCTGTGGAATAATGTCCACGTTGAGAGAAAAACTCTTGTCTGTTGGAGGCAAGTGTGAATTTTACAATTAATCACCTTGATTAGCATTGCAAAGCCTTGCAGCTTCAAGACCTGGCTGATTCCTGCCTGGGAGAATCCTTTGTTGGGAGGTGTTAGCTGGCCCTGATTGTTTCATGTCTGGAATTCCCCTGTTTTCATAGCGTTGCTCTTTATTTACTGTCCTAATTTAAGGTAATAATAATAATAATATTACTCAGCGTATTATCTCAAATAATATAGCACAAATATAATTTGAGAACACAGAAATGCTGGACCACTCTCACAACCACCATGCCAGGCGACACAGAGAAGCCATTGAAATCCACAAGAAGCATGTGGACAATTTCAACAGGAAGAAGGAAACCATGAAAATGAACACAAGTATTACTACCAGTATTAAAAACTCTAAAATTAGGACAGTAAATAAAACAATGAAACAGGGCCAGCTAAAACTTCCCAACAACGGATTCCCCCCAGGCAGGAAGCAGCCAGGCTTTTAAGTTGCATGGCTATTCAATGCTAATTAAGCTGACCAATTGCAACATTCACACTTGTATCAGACAGATAAGTGTTCTTTCTCCCACCCTGGACATTATTCCACAGATATATAAACCCCACTTGTCTAGTTTCCAACAGACCTCTCAACCTCTGAGGATGCCTGCCATAGATGTGGGTGAAACGTCAGGAGAGAATGCTTCTGGAACATGGCATACAGTCCGGAAAACTCACAGCAACCCAGCCTGGCTCGAGAGCAGTACGTGTGAAAAAGATCTTGGAGTCCTCGTGGACAACAAGTTAAACATGAGCCAACAATGTGATGTGGCGGCAAAAAAAAGCCAATGGGATTTTGGCCTGCATCAAGAGGAGCATAGTGTCTAGATCTAGGGAAGTCATGCTGCCCATGCTCTATTCTGCTTTGGTTAGACCACACCTGGAATATTGTGTCCAATTCTGGGCACCACAATTCAAGAGAGATATTGACAAGCTGGAATGTGTCCAGAGCGACTAAAATGATAAAAGGTCTGGAGAACAAGCCCTATGAGGAGCGGCTTAAGGAGCTGGGCATGTTTAGCCTGAAGAAGAGAAGGCTGAGAGGGGATATGATAGCCATGTATAAATATGTGAGAGGAAGCCACAGGGAGGAGGGAGCAAGCTTGTTTTCTGCTTCCCTGGAGACTAGGACGGGGAACAATGGCTTCAAACTACAAGAAAGGAGATTCCATCTGAACATGTGAGAGCTGTTCAACAGTGGAACTCTCTGCCCCGGAGTGTGGTGGAGGCTCCTTCTTTGGAAGCTTTTAAACAGAGGCTGGATGGCCATCTGTCAGGGGGTGCTTTGAATGCAATATTCCTGTTTCTTGGCAGAATGGGGTTGGACTGGATGGAGTTACTTGAGAATCTACCTCCAGCAACCCTAACGTTGGACTGGATGGGCCAGGAGGTCTCTTCCAACTCTTTGATTCTATGATTTGTTATTTTCTTTCATGCCTTGCAGTCTTGCAACTTGCCTTTGGGTCTATGGGGTCTCTTGAAAGTGGATCACACCATGATGAGTTTAATGTATTGTCGAAGGCTTTCATGGCCGGAATCACTGGGTTGTCGTAGTTTTTTTCGGGCTATATGACCATGGTCTAGAGCAGTGGTTCTCAACCTGGGGTCCCCAGATGTTTTTGGCCTACAACTCCCAGAAATCCTAACAGCTGGTAAACTGGCTGGGATTTCTGGGAGTTGTAGGCCAAAAACATCTGGGGACCCCAGGTTGAGAACCACTGGTCTAGAGGCATTCTCTCCTGATGTTTCGCCTGCATCTATGGCAAGCATCCTCAGAGGTAGTGAGGTCTGTTGGAACTAGGGGTTTATATATCTGTGGAATGACCAGGGTGGGACAAAGGACTCTTGTCTGCTGGAGCTAGGTGTGAATGTTTCAACTGACCACCTTGATTAGCATATAAGGGCCTCAGACTAGACCAGTGGTTCTCAACCTGTGGGTCCCCAGGTGTTTTGGCCTACAACTCCCAGAAAACCCAGCCAGTTTACCAGCTGTTAGGATTTCTGGGAGTTGAAGGCCAAAACATCTGGGGACCCACAGGTTGAGAACCACTGCCTAGAGCAAACTTTTGTTGAGAGGTGATTAGACATGAGGAGTTTGTTTAGAAATCGTCTTGGTTGATCTCTTATTCCTTTGTACAGTTTTATGTTAAGCTTAGACATTCTTAAGCCATTCTTTGATGGGATACCTAACTAAGCCAATCTTGACTCCAAGAAGAAGTTTCCAGCTTCAGGGATGAATGAACCCAAAAGTTTTGCTGCTCCACGTACAGTGGTAGTTAGAAAAGAACGCTTGGCTCGTCCCTGGGTTTATTTTGCCTGTTTCACCTCTAAGATGGACAGCTCCACGCAAGACATCGTCTACTCAATCAGAATGGGAAGATCCACAAGTTGTCCCTCTTGGGAAGAGTGGTCTCCCTCAGAGTAAATTGTTTTTCCCTTGCTTTTCTTCCAGAGCAAAAGTGCCAGCGCTGGGCGAGAATGGACAGAGCAAGAGACCCTGCTGCTGCTTGAGGTAAGAGGAATGCTGGGAGATGGGAGAGAGGGGAAATCAGAGTCTTGAATGAAAGCAGATTGTGTCTGGATTGAATAGAGTGAAGGGGAGCCCTTGTTTGTATGGCTGCCAAGAGCGGCTGAATGAAAGCTTCCTAATTGCACTCCTTGTGTCGCATCTTTTGCTTCTGCAGCTGCGGGATCCCAAATGTTTCTGTATGTGTCGGGAGATCTCAGTCATGCACCCGCTCTGTCCGTGTTTGCTGTGGAAAACAAGTCACGGAGCAAATAAAATCGCGTTGGCACATTTTGCAAAAATCCTTGCGCCTGCCAAGGTGAACCCTGGTGCGCTTCTGGTGACGTTCACAGCTTTCTTGCAATCCCAGAAGGTGTGAGAGAAAGTTGCAAACATTTGCAATGGCAGTTGTCGCTGTTTCTTTTTTTTTATATATATAATAGTTTTTTATTAAGATTTTAAGAATAACATCGAAAGAGGGAGAATATTAAAAAAGTTGTCGCTGTTTCTGACATTCTAACACACCTATCCGGGTTGATTTTAGAAAGGCGGGTTAATTCATAGTAAGGATGAGTGCCCACAGATCCAGGGTTGCGTCATGTTTCCTGGTACAGATGCTTCAGAGTGCATTGATCCCTCTTCCTAAGATGTCTGTGAATGGCAGGCAAATCTATGTATATAATAAAAGTCAGTGCTTGTATGCAGCAGAAGGAAGGGCAGTGTATTCTGTTGGTCATGGAAGTCCTGTATGTCATGTTTGGTTGAATTCCATCATTGGTGGAGTTCAGAATGCTCTTTGATTGTAGGTGAACTATAAATCCCAGCAACTACAACTCCCAAATGTCAAGGTCTATTTCCCTTAAACTCCATCTGTGTTCATATTTGGGCATATGGAATATTCGTGCCAAGTTTGGTCCAGATCCGTCATTGTTTGAGTCCACAGTGCTCTCTGGATGTAGGTGAACTACAACTCCCAAACTCAAGGTCAATGTCCACCAAACCATTCCAGTGTGTTCTGTTGGTCATGGGAGCCCTGTGTGCTAAGTTTGGCCCAATTCCATCATTGGTGGAGTTCAGAATGCTCTTTGATTGTAGGCTGGCGGGGACGAGAGACAGGGCCTTCTCGGTGGTGGCCCCTCGGCTATGGAATGCCCTACCAGTGGACATCAGGCAGGCCCCTTCGTTACTAGCGTTTCGGAGGAGGGTGAAGACATGGCTTTTTGAACAGGCGTTCAGTTAATCATACAATTACAACTAACTCAGGAAGACGGCATACTGAACAAGGAACGGTAAAACGACTGTGAGAACGGGATCTGATTCTATTGAGGCGTTGATGATTATATGTGTATCGTCTGTGAATGTCTGTTATATATTGTTGTGTGTTATATTTTTTACTGTAAACCGCATTGAGTCGCCGTAAGGCTGATAAATGCGGTATACAAAAGAAGTAAATAAATAAATAAATAAATAAATAAACTATAAACCAGCAATGACAATTCCCAAATGACAAAATCAATTTTTTTGATTGGAGGACATACATTGGGTTGTTAGGTGTCTTGTGTCCAAATTTGGTGTCAATTCCCCCAGTGGTTTTTGAGTTCTGATGGTAGCACAAACAAACATTACATTTTTATTTATATAGATTTACCAGTAGCAGCTGCATTTCCCACCCTTGCCTTATACTCGAGTCAATACATTTTCCTAGTTTTTTGTGGCAAAATTAGGTGCCTTGGTGTATATTTGGGTCGGCTTATACTCGAGTATGTATGGTACTTTGCATGTACTAATAGGTTGCCTTGCCAATTTAATACCACTTGAGTATCACAGAAAAGGGGATCAATGGCGACCCTCAGTAATGGCAGTCTGTGGGGCCAAGCCAGATCTGATAAGAGCTGGAAAGCAGCCTTAAAACTTGCTTATCGACTATGACGTTTTGCAGAATTATCTGTGAAATGTGTTTTCAGACTTCAGAGATGGTTCTGAAAGGGATAAATGTTGTCATGGCGCTGTACGGTTCCAGCGATGCCTCTGTTAAACTATGTTTTATAGAGGACTCTGTATTCCCTCCGGCCTCGGGAGGGAGGGGTTCTGGTCCCAGACCTCCCAAAATGTATATGGGAGATTATTTAATGGATTTATAGGCGACCTTCTAGTGGAAATCAGTGTGGTGTACAAATAAACGGAGAAATACAATGCAGGCACCACATTAAAAGCACAGTAGCAGCAGCTGTAAAAATCAATAAAATCCAGCAGAGCTGTACAGATGGCACTAAAACCAGCAGTAAAACTTGCTGAGATGTGCGGGCAGCCAAAAACACACGCGTCTTTCCCCGATTCTGAGAAGATATCAACACTGGCTGCAGTGGAGCTGTTTCTGGGGTAAAGGCTGCAGGTGATAAAGGGATTCTGTGGCAGTACCTTCCTTGGTATGCCACGAGAGTCAAGACAAAGATCCACCCAGAGGAAAAGTGTACTTGCCATACATCAAGGGAACCACTGAGCGTAGAGGGAAGCGGATGAGTAAATACAACTGAACAGACTGGAGGGGTTTGGGGGACTGACTCAACAGGATGGAAGTTGTAGTTCACCCTGCACCCTGTGACCCCCTCCCATAATGGACCTGGACCACATTTGGCATGCAGAACCCTCATTACCAGGTCTGGGGGTATTGACGTTGTAGTTCACCCTTATCCAGAGAACACTGAACCCAGCCAACAACGTATCTGGACCAAATTTGGCACACAGAACCAACATGAGGAACTGAATACTGGCTGGGTTTGTGAGTGATTGCTTTGGGAATCTGGGAGTTGTAGTTCACCCTTAACCAGAGATCACTGAACCCAGCTGGTATCCGATCTGGACCAAACTTGGCACACAGACCCAACATGGCCAACTTTGAGTAATGGCAGGGTTTGGGAAGGATTGACCCACAATTATGGGAAGTGTAGTTCACCCACATCCTTATCCATTTTCTAATGGGAGCATTCATAAAAACAAAAGGAAAAACAGTTATTTTTCTAATACTGTAAATAGCGTTCTACATTACCAAGCTGATACTACCAAACTTTGAAAAACAAACAATGCCAAGAAGAGCGGCAAGACCGAGAACAAGCTACGAGAGTCAAGACGAAGATCCACCCAGAGGAAAAGTGTTCTTGCCATACATCAAGGGAACCACTGACCGCAGGGGGAAGCTGATGAAGAAACACAACATACAAACTGTCTACAGACCCACTAAGAAAATCCAACAAATGCTCCGTTCAGCAAAGGACAAGAGGGATCCTCTCACCTCTGCAGGAGTCTACCGTATACCATGCAGCTGTGGACAAGTCTCCATAGGGACCACCAAACACAGCAGCATTGCCCAACACACGCATCAAGGAACTTGAAAGGCACTGCAGATTACTTCAACCAGAGAAGTCAGCCATAGCAGAGCACCTGATGAACCAACCTGGACACAGCATAGTATTTGAGAACACAGAAATGCTGGACCACGCTCACAACCACCATGTCAGGCTACACAGAGAAGCCATTGAAATCCACAAGCATGTGGACAATTTCAACAGAAAGGAGGAAACCATGAAAATGAACAAAATCTTGCTAAAAGTATTTTAAAAACTCTAAAATTAAAACAGCACAACAACAGAGAGGAAATAATCAGGCACATCTAATCACCTCTCAACAAAAGATTGCCCCAGGCACTGCCAGGCCATCAAATGCTAATCAGGGTGGTAAGTTGAAACATTCACACCTAGCTTTGCAGACAAGAGTCCTTTGTCCCACCCTGATCATTCCACAGATATATAAACCCATTTTCTTAGTTCCAACAGACCTCACTACCTCTGAGGTTGCTTGCCATAGATGCAGGCGAAACGTCAGGAGAAAATGCCTCTATACCATGGCCATATAGCCCGAAAAAACCTACAACAACCCACTTCCTTGGTATGTTAGCACTTTTCAGCATTGGAGCTGTTAAGAATGAGACAACAGGAAGTGAGAGAAATCTTCCCCTCGGAAAGAAGATTCACTCCTGAAAGAGTCATTATCATAGGAAAAGGGGGGTCTCCACTTAAGCTGTAACTCCAATCCTTGTTTCAATGTATTGTCGAAGGCTTTCATGGCCAGAATCACTGGGTTGTTGTAGGTTTTTCGGGCTGTATGGCCATCTTCTAGAAGCATCCTCTCCTGAAGTTTTGCCTCCATCTATGGCAGGCATCCTCAGAGGTAGTGAGGTCTGCCTGCCATAGATGCAGGCGATACGTCAGGAGAGAATGCTTCTAGAAAATGGCCATACAGCCCAAAAAACCTACAACAACCCAATCCTTGTTTCAACAGCAAGCCACATTTTCCAAAGCCCGATGATCACAGGGACAGAAAGTGGAGTGAAACCTTCTGAACAAGGGCTCAGACAACAAAATTTATTTATTTACTATACTTGTGTACCGCATTTCTCAGCCTTATCGGCGACTCAAGACCACAGGTGTCTTCACCCTTCTCTGTTCTGTCCAAAACTGTATCTATATTTGGCTGGAATTATATATATATTTAAAATGTCCCTGTTCTAACTCAGCTTAAGAACAAACCTACAGAACCTCTCTTGTTCATAACACGGGGACTGTTGTAGTACTACGGCATCCCTGACACAAAATGGCAAAACCAAGATTTGCTTTCTGGAGTGATCTTTGGGAGGTGGGATAATTTTTAAGCTGCAGGTGCTTGAATCCATAACTTTGAAGAGCTGAGTGTATAGCACTTGAGCTTCAGTATAATCCCTTCCACAGATCAAGCAAGACCAGGGTAGAGTGAGAAAGGAAGGAAGGAAGGAAGGAAGGAAGGAAGGAAGGAAGGAAGGAAGGAAGGAAGGAAGGAAGGAAGGAAGGAAGGAAGTGTGTTGTTCCCCTTGATTTGCAGAGGCATCAGACGGGCAGGCATTCAGTTATATGGTAGGGGCTACAGTCTCTCTAGGTGCAATGGCGTCTAATGGTGCTTTCAGTGTTCATCTGACT